AATTAACGGGTAAGTATTTAAAAAAAATCAACGTTATATTAAAAAAAAATTTTCCCCCCCGCAAAAAAAAAAAAAAAAAGAAAAAAAAAATTATTATGTTTTGTTGTTAATGATGGTGTAGAATTAAATAGAATGAGAATTATTAACGCATATTGAATATTACTTAATACATGACATTTGAGCAATTAATCGGATATTTTTCTCTTTTTCTTTTCCAAAAGTTCATCATTGATATAATCTTCTTTCTTTTCTTCTACATATGGAATAGTTGAACGTTTTAACATGGAGTGAAAAATATATGTTATCCAGCTGTGATCTAAAAATATGAGAATTAATGTGGTGTGATACAATATTTAATACTTAAATGATATCGTTAAATGAGAGAGAGAGAGAGAGTAGAAACACATTGAGTCAATAATTAGATAATATATATATCTATAGACAAACAAAAAAATAAAAAATAAAATAAACGTGTCAGTCTACTATAGAGCTAATTATTCAACGTGACAAAAGTATAATATGATCACGAAATATTTCCAATTCAATAATAATAAATTAAACGAATGTCTGGAACGTTTTATATCAAAAAATTATAAAATCATCTAAGTAAAATCTATAGTATAGTAAATTGTTGCAATTTAGTTATACAGCTGTGGATATGTTTACATAAGAGAAGATCTAGTTTTAAAAAGTACAAAGTTTATTATTTTTAAATATTTCTCTTTATTTTTTTCTAGTCTGATAATGTTAGTGATCTCTATGGCATATATGAATGTGAAGCTGAAAATTATTTAAAAACAACAAAATCTTTTATCATTATTGATGGTAAGTTCAACGATGATTAGTCTACCATTTTTCTCTCTCTCTCTGTAGTCTGATGTAATCGAGATCAAAATAGACGATAAATGATTGTCGATTAAGATAATATATTAACGAGTTATTTTCAGAACGTGATTAAACATTTTCCTTTTTGTTTTTCATTTTGAGAAAAAATATTATATAATAGTATTTTCTCTATACTAATCGATATAGAGGAGGAGAAAACAATAATATTAGGGCTATTAGTAAGATATTATCGCATACGACTGATAAAAAAAATAATCCATTAGTTTAGTTAGAGAAAGTAAAAGTAAGTTCGTGATTAACACAAGTGTAACGGGCCCCTTTTTTCGCTTATTTTCAAAGAACTATGTCAATAAAGTTAGAAAATAATCTAAAGTGATGCAACTAGATAATTAAGTAGATTAAACATTTGTCTACAAAATGAAAAGTGTCTCGGCTTTGAATATTGATTCGTTATGAAAATACAACTGTTGTACAAACAGCCCAAAAAATCGATTTTAAGGCTATCTGAAAAACGTGTCTAAAAGAGTGAAGGCTAGCTGGCGAAAATTGAACAAGTATACGAGTTTGTAGAAAATTGTTCACTCTACAAGATGTGATAGCTTTTTAAGTTCGAAACTATTCTAATTAATCTGTATTAATCAAAGAAAAACCAGAAAAACTGTGACGCTGTGACAAAAAACGGTCAAAAACGTCATAGCGTCACGGTTTTTCTTTGATTAATACAGATTAATTAGAATAGTTTCGAACTTAAAAAGCTATCACATCTTGTAGAGTGAACAATTTTTCTACAAACTAGACTTGTTCAATTTTCGCCTGCTCGTCTTTACTCTTTTAGACACGTTTTTCAGATAGCCTCAAAATCGATTTTTTGGGCTGTTTGTACAACAGCTGTATTTTCATAACGAATCAACATTCAAAGCCGAGACACTTTTCATTCTGTAGACAAATGTACTGCTTACAGATGCAATCTACTTAATTATCTAGTGGCATCACTTTAGACTATTTTCTAACTTTATTGGCATAGTTCTTTAAAAATGAGTATAAAAAGGAGACAGTTAACTGGACAAGCCGTGAAATATGACATCATACGGATGAATATGAAAATAACGAATTTTCTCCTTTTTTGGCTTTTTTTATTATAAAACAACAGCAACAACAACAACAGTATATGTACGAATATTTTATTTCACTATTTTTAGAAACAATTTTAATTAACTTAACAAATGTTCAACCGACAAAATATCAAAATAATCGTCACATCTATCATCCATCATCGAGTAGTAGTGGTTCAACAACAGAATCTTATGGTATGATTAAATATTATTTATTCATTGCTTTTAATAAGATTTCTTCTTTACTATTCATTCGTAGTTGCACAATGTATATGACCGCCTGTTCATATTTCATCTATATCAGAAAGAATAAAAAAAATAAAAATATAAGAAAGAAAACTTGAAAGCATTCTCATAGAGACAATAGTTTTCATATAAGATTTTAGGATTTTTTCTTTTTCTTTTCTAAAGAGGACTTACTAAAAGTCGTGAACTAAAAAATAACATATCGCGGCACTCTTACAAGTTCTTTATCATAATATTATCATCTGAGTACAATTAATCCTCTCTTTCCATTTTTAAATTATAATGTGTAAGAACAAAACGTGTTGAAGAATAATAACTAACAGTTCAAAAGTAAATAGTCATTGCACTTTATATATCAACATTTTCATAAACAGAATGTTACACTACTCTTTTATCTTATAATAGTAACAATTCTCAGGTATTAATCGAAAATACAATAAAATTGACTCAGAAACTTAAATGAAATACAACTCTTCTCTTCCAAAAAGAAAAGAAAAAGAAGATATTTGATCGATTAATGATAATAGTTTTTCTTTTGTTTCATTTTAGCTCAGATTGAATTATTATTAAATAGTAGTCGATATTGTCGATTGAACACTAATTTACTAATATTCGTTTGGATACTACAATTATTATATTCAAACGGATTCTATATTAGAAGATGACAAAAAATAAAACCTATATGATTAATGAAATTGAATTTCAATTCAAGATGTAGATGAGAAGAAGAATATATTGGTGGCGATTAGAATAATGAATCTAGTCGGAAAATAAATAAATAAATTTTGTTTTGTGATTTCATATGTGAAACAAAAAAGCCAAGATACACACAATTGTTCATCTCAATATATTATTGTCACATTCAAAAATTATTTTTATATCAAGTGATTTTAACAGTGATTTCAATTTATTTGGATGATGAATGAACTTCACGTTGCAACAGCAACATAGAAAGTTTTAATTGTCAAAAGAAAATATCATTTTTCTGTTAATTTGAAATAAATTTGTTTTTTTTTTTCTTTTCCTAAACTAACTGTTGACGTTAATATCTAATTTTAACCAGTAGTCTGATACCGTGCTCTTATAATTACACCGAAATCTATTGAAGAGCAAAATGTGTGTTGTATGTTGAAAAGTAGTCAATTTTTACAAATCATTTGAATGCCGTGCCCTTGGGCTATCATAAAGATTATAATTTTAATTAGCTCAAATCAGCATGAAATACGAAAAAGAAAATTAATTATACATAACGATATTCAAGTAGATTCATTTCATATCATGGTGTTGATTTTTATAACAGATGAGTTGTTAAAATAAAAGATATATTTTCTTGTTAGAAAAATGCTGTTTTAAGCGGGATGAACAGCAGCTATCTGGATGGTCAAGAGAGCACTGCACAAAAGTTCTCATCCTTAATGGTAATGTTGTTTGAATGCAAAAACTAGAAAATATTTTTTGTCAGTAGAATATTCAACAGGATATGTCGAACGCAATTGCTATGATTGATAATTACATTCAACGTTAAATATTGTCATTTTAATGCAACAAAAAATATCAGATTGTTTCAGAAGAATATCAGCTTAATAAATTGTACTGTTTACATCATCTCACAAATTATCCCAAAAACATGCCCGATTTATGACTTTGGAATCAATGTTAGTAACTCACAATACTATAAGTTACCGCTGGAGATGTCAACCAATCTGAATGAGGTAGTGTGAAAAAAACTTGGTCGGCTGGAAGCTAAAATGGGTATGTTGGTTTTAACGTCGGAGGTGCAGCTATGTGTGGTTGCAGCCATTGCGCAAATACAGCTATCTGTTCGTGTTCTTTTAAGCCCTCCCTCCTCCTCAGAATGAAATCTTTTTGTATTAAAAAATCAATTTGGAGACAAGCACATCGAAAGATAGCCTGGAGTGTCTACTTTCAGAATCTGTATCGCTTTCGGGCCTAGAACTGTTTTTTCGCGATTTTTTCGCAGGTTTTCTAGAAGACTTGAAAACCAGGGTCATCAAATAATAATTTTCTTCTGGACACTTAAGCAAGTAAATTTTTTCTGAATATGTAGATTTCTAGAGCAGACTTTTCTGATCAAAATAAGACGTTAGACAACTCTGTATGATCTTGCATTCAAAAATTACAAGCATTTTCCTACATGACCTACATATAGACCAACGAATGTACAGCGTTTTCTCTCAAAATACGTTTTTTGGTCGAACATGCCCAGTGTGGGGCGCTTTTTGACCTTTGACTCTGGAAAACCCCGGAACGGTAAGAGATACCGAGGAAAAAAAAATTTCATAATCACACTTTGATATGGCAAACATTTGCTGAAAGTGTGATCAAAATCCGATGTAAGACAAAAAAGTTTTTTTCATATATACTGTAGCTTCACAAATAAATAAATTCAGTATCAGGTAAAAAATAATAAATGTAAGTTAAAAGTGGCTGGAAATCTTCTTTTCTCTACATACATCTGAACTATACTAGTTCAACAAAATAAACACATGATACAACATACACTGGGACGATATAAACAACAAAAACATGCAACTGGTTAGTCACAATCATTACTCATCAAATAGTTACATGCAGTTAGTCATGCTGTTAGATAAACTACAAATGTCATTTTGAAACTCACTTATGTTTAAAAACTGAAACACGGCCACTTTGAGAGCAGAATTGATACTTGGTCCTATAGCAAACACACGACGTAAGGCGCGCGTAATTCAAACTTACCGAGGGTCTTTATTTTTGAACGAAAAACACATACTCGGATAGAAAAAAGTGTGCTGATTCCGAATATGACCTTTTAACCTCAATCTGACTGAGTTTTCGGGGAGAAAATGGCAAGAAAATTTTCAACGTGAAAATTCGAAAAAAATCAAAGTAGTCAGATAGGATAGACATACATATCAATCGACTCAGTTTTTGATTCTCATTCCGAATATGATGTTTTTATTGCTAAAAAGTTGAGTTCTGATCGAGAAAATTGGGAATTACGGTCAGAATTCCGAGTTTTTCGTCTCTTATTTAAAGAATCTAACCTATTTCTGTATTAAAAAACAAAATCAAAAAAGCCTCTGTGTAACTTTGTTCTAAATTTTGTGGGGAATTTTTTGACGTAAGATTGAAGTGTCTAGCGGTCATTCTGAATGAGTTGAAAGGTTTACAAGGCTGACCGGTGGCACGCGGGGCTCGTCCTGTTACACCGCCGGGGACATTCTCAGTTCTGGACAGACAACTTTGAAAGATAGTTTTCTAGACTCAGTTTTCGACGTAGAATCCAAATATACCATTAAAAAATTTTAAAAAAATGATATGAAAAAGATGAGAACAGTTTTCTAAGAAAGAACAGTTTTTCCGGTTTTCGACCTGGTCTCACTATTTTGCCATTTTCTCCCCGAAAACTCAGTCAAATTGAGGTAAAAAGGTCATATTCGGAATCAGCACACTTTTTCCTATCCGAGTATGTGTTTTTCGTTCAAAAATAAAGATCCTCGGTAAGTTTGAATTACGCGCGCCTTACCAAAGAGTGTTCAACAGGGCAGTTCGATATTTCTTACCCTTAAAAAGGAAAAGATATTATACCCCCCTTATAGGAAAAGATATACATAAGATGGGAAATACTAATGCGAGTGTTTTTGATTTTCTAACGATTGAGACTCTTAAGACAAATCTTTCGTGTCGCTATTCATTATATATTTTATTATTTCATAAATTTTAATCGTCTTTGGTGCTGTAAATTTATTTTTAAGCCCACAATTGTTTTAAAAAAAAGAAAGCATAAATAATCTCAATAAGAAGAACAAAAAAGATAGTATAATAGGAGACAGAAAAAGAAAAGACGACTATGTCTTACAAAACTTCATACATTTGACAAAATTGAAATATTTTGATTGTGGAATGATCACGTAGAAAGAAAAAGAGAACAAAAATATGTAAATTATAACAATAAAACAACAACAACTATTTGTCATATTAGAGATGTTGACGAAAACTATACAAAATTTCGTACTTTTATACACACACACACACACAAAAAAAATGTTAACACAAAAAGATCAATCACAATCATACAATTTAATCCGAACAACAACTAAAACAATCTGACGTTATCGCACAAAATAATAATAACCGAGCATTAAAAAGCTAGCCCAATACTAAAAGAATTAAGAAGGTGAACAAGGTTTAACTGATTTTTGATTTATTTCATCTTTAATATCACTAGTCCTTTGTTGTTGCTTTTCATCTTCTTGTTGTGTTTGATCAGATGCTGTTTCGAGTGTAAGCGTTGGTTGATCGTCACCGAACATTAATAAACATGTATCTGACTGTGAATGTCCGTGTGCAGTAAGTGCCAATTGATTATCCGATGTAAGCATCTGAACTCCTTGATCCGGACAACTTCTTGTTGTTAATAAATGATCATGTTCATCATTTTTTTCGTCTTGTTTACTTTGATTTAGTGTTAGATCTTCGTCAAACATTCGATTTATATACATACTTGAATTGAATTCATTTGATTCACCACTTTCGCTGAGATGATCGATTTTTGCGTTAAGTGGAACACCCAACAATAAAGGATTACGAACAGTTAATGGGCCACATAACATAGGCATTGTAGATGTCTTTATTGCTGAGACAATGGGCTCAATACCAAAATTTTTCGACTGAACTGAATCACCACCACCACCGATACCATTCGGATAATAAATTCTCATTACGCCTCCACCATTTTCTAATAAACTTTTTTCATGAGATATTGTTAAATTATTTTTATCAAAAGATGTCTGTGATGTTGACCCCTAAAAGCAAAAAAATACTAATTAATTCTAGCTGTTAGCTAGAGCGTTTCAAAATATATTCTGATCGATCGATTGTTATTCTTCTATTCTGTTCGTTAGATTGGCATAGTTATAATACAACATAATATTTAAGTGCCTTGTTTTGTGATCGCATAAACATATAACGTGTCATGGTATTTTGTCTTTACAAATGATGAGGTGATAGATAGAAAAGCAATGTTTCTATATTTTAAAATGTATCAACATTCTTATACCCCTCCCCTCTTTTTGGGCTTTCCGTAAAAATGCTGTGGAATAAAAACCAAAAGTCACTAAGACTTCATATTTTCAAAACTGATTGGAACTCGATGGAGCACGTTTTAATTTTTGTTTCAAGTTTTTAACTATTGCCGTTCATCAGTTTTCCAGAAAATTCGGTTTTTTTCATTGTGTCACATCTGAAATTTCATCTGATCGAGTTAAAAATTTTATCAGAGTTACTTAAGGTCATAATGCAGAAACATAATTTTGGAATTTTATTTTAGAGCTTTCTTTACCGAGTTATGGGAAAGATACCGAAACACTTTCAAAAACCAAGTTTTTAAATTTTAGACACCGTATAGCTCGGTAAAAAAAGGTCTAAAATAAAATTCCAAAATTATATTTCTGCACTATGACCTTAAGTAACTCTGATAAAATTTTTAACTGGATCGGATGAACTTTCAGATGTGACACAATGAAAACACCGAGTTTTCTGGAAAACTGATGAACGGCAATAGTTAAAAACTTGAAACAAAAATTAAAACGTGCTCCATTGAGTTTCCAATCAGTTCTGAAAATATGAAGCCTTAGTGACTTTTGGTTTTTATTCCACAGCATTTTTACGGAAAGCTCAAAATGAGAGAGGGTACCCTTAACTAAATTTTATCTTCCTATCGTTTTTCAACATCTAAACTATTTTATAAGGTTACTTTTGTAGTAAAACTCATTACCATCGAAAAAAATCGAGATTCCTGTTAATACCTGATTTAATCATTACAAAAATTTCTTCAAAAATTATAACCGAATGCCTTTTCCCGGAGGTCAAATTTGTCTGAACATGTTTATTCAAATAAAATTTACTGTTTGCTCAAAGCATTCTCATATATCACAAAAGAGGAAATACTACTGATATTTCAATCTTTCAAAAAGAAGAAAGTTTATATTCTCTATATTTAGCCGTTTAATTTCCGTTTTTTCTTTAAGGCAGAAACCGATGCTTTTGATTAAAATTAAGTTTCTTGTTTAGTTGAATACGCTGAAGTCTCCTCTTTCAGAATCGGTGTTGCTTTTCACAAAAGAGTTAGTTTTTCACGGATTTTTGAGAGGTTTTAGATTAAACCAACCGTAGATCCACTACTATGATCATCGTCAAACTTGTTTAACGTTTTTCTTGGAACATTAGTTCTGGCGTAGTAAACTTGCTATTCCTCTGAGACGGTTCATCGTATGACCTTCATTTTGTTTTGTTTTGAAGCTAAGACATTTGTCTAAAAAATGACCGTGAAAATTTTTAAATTAGACTTCTTGAGCGGAGAAAAATGGAAATTAGTGCTCTGAATTACACGGTTTTTTCGGAGTTTTGACATCTGTCTATCGCCTCATCATTTGTAAAGATAAAATGGCTTGACGCGTTACATGCATGCAATTATAAAACAAGGCACTCATATATTACGTTGTATTATAACTGTCTTACGATGATCCTACGAAAGATTGTTAACTTTTTGTGGACTGTGCCACTGATATTTACTATTTCATCGAGTGCATTTAATAATAATTGTTCTGGTGTTGAATTTTTACATGATGGTTCATTTCGTTGACGATACGTTGCTTTTACAGCTGCTAACCAAACATAACGATGAATTTGTAGAACATGTAACTCATTATGAATAATTAAATTATAATCGGGCGTAAATACGGGAAAATATTCTTCAAGTTTAGATAATTGACCAGATGAATGGCATAAGGCTTCATGAAGGTCTTTAATCGATGTATCTTCAGCTAGAAACAAAACATATAAAAATGACGGATAAATATCCAAATAATCAATCTATTTCTGTCTTGTGGCAAAAAGGTTTGACAAGTACATATTTGAACAAGTTACCTGTAAACTGTATATATACATACTATGTACAGGAAACTTGCACTACCATATAAAAAAAACACAAAGAAAAACTAAAATAAATGAAAGACGTAGCTATTCGAAGTGCAAGCGAAGGAAAGTCGTATGTTACGTTAACACTCCCTCAACTATTTCTAAAATACAATTCTATTTTTAATAGCTTTTGTAGATAACTGAGACGTTGGAAACTATATTTCGTTTGACTTTTACGTTTGACTATTCATTAGTGCTCTGAATTATCTACATATAGTATGTATATATACAGTTAAACACACTACGCATAACCTTTGGTCAAATGACTTTTCTGACTAGAGAAGTTGATTCCGATGTCAAACCATTACCACTTCAATAACACATGAAGAACCACTTTCTAATTTGTTACATAAATTGGTCATGACTTCGCTTATAAGACAAAAGATCTTGCTGTCAAATCGACTGAAAACTGTGGCGCATTATGCGAAATCTCACTTATGTAAAATATAGAGAGAATAAAACAAACGAACATGTCATATGAAAATAAAATGAAACTAATGTCCGATTTGATTAAATTAGTATTCTACCAACAATAGAAATCTCTTTGAATTAGAATAGATGTTATGGAATACATTAAAAAAAGGATACTTACAAACGAGTGCATTAGCTGCAAATGAACTAAATGGTCCCACTATTGATATGATTTTTTCAACGCCGGATTCCAATGTTGCACTCCCTTGAATAATCAATGTGAATATATCATATTGATATCCCTTTTTATACAAATAAATAGCATTTGTGGTATTTGATTGGCGTTTAATAATAGCATAGACATTGTAGTTCAATAATGCTTTCAGTATGTCTTGTGATATGAATCCAGCAGTGAACGGTTGAATATCTGCAATGAGAAAATCATCAGTACCGTTGCAGTAAAGGGAAAAAAAGATTTGGCATCGGGAAAAATTAGCAGATCTAACAAGAGAACCTTCTCAAGTGATCAAAAACTAGTTTTCTAGAATAATCATGGCAGTGCTGATCATGAGCCTGATCTCCGTTTGTGTTCTTATTGAGTTTCTGACTCGTTTTTATCAGAAAAAGTTTTGAACAACTGAGGAAATTCCGTCGAAAGGCAAAACTAACTGGAAATTTTTTTCTCCTACATACATCTGAACTATACTATATAAACAACAACACAAAACACTAGGACGATATAAAGAACAAAAACATGCAACTGGTTAGTCACAATCATTACTCATCAAATAGTTACATGCAGTTAGTCATGATGTTATATAATCTACAAATGTCATTTTGAAACTCACTTTTG